TATCCCAAGTGGGTCTAGGTAAGCAGAGGTGTCTGAGAAGCTGCAAGAATATGCAGCAGCCAGAGTCATCTTGAGAACAGCCTTCTAATCCTGTTCTAGAAAGCAGCAGCACTGTCCAACCTGAGAGGAACTGGCAGATTAGCAGCAGTGTAGTTTGTTACCTTACACAAAAAAAAGCCAGACTCAGCAGCAGGGGTAGGTGGAGCTCCCTTTTCCCAGCTTTGGCGGAGGCTTTGCTACTGTCCCACTGCGTATCACAGGTGAAACTTAGCAATGCAGCATGTGAAACTGTGACAAAGGAAGGATGAATACATATCCCAAGGGGCACGAAAGAACAAATGGGACTGATACTAAAAGGCGGTTCAAAAACTGGAGGCTGAGGGGAAGTTTTGGCACTGAGAGGGCTTCACAATGACACAGCACTAAGGAGGCCTCATTCCAAACAAGTTAGGAGCAAAGGAGAAGACAAACTAGCATTTTTGCTTAGACATCTGATTTTCACAGTGGTTTTCTAAACTCACTCAAATTTCTGGAAGAGCTTTTGGCAGATGTCTTTACCAATTTCTGCCTCTTACAGTTCTCTGAAAGTTCACAGGATTTGCATGCCTAATAGTCACAAAACTTGTTTGTGAAAAGACAATCAATTCAGCTTTTGTTTGGACTGTTTTTGCTGGGAGGAGCAATTTGATTATTCTACATGCAACACTAATCCAAAAGAATATTAGATGGCTGCAATAATAATTACAGGTACTTTGATCTCAAGCTCTCAGAGTGCTTTTTTGAAAGCAAAACCGCACAATTGTCACTTTAGCTGGAGAAACACCTTTCAAATGACAAAGGCAACTGGATCATAAATTACATGAGAAGGACAAAATATGCTTGTATTGTGTTGAAAGACCTATCTTCCATATGACAGTGCTAAAGTATGGATGTATACAAAGACCTGAAGGAACAAACAGTACAATTAGTATTAATAGGGCAACCCATTAGTTAAAATTGAAAGGACAGATGCTCGGTGTTGCTGCTGAGAGCACTGGGTCAGCACCTCTGCTGCTTCCCTCCTCTTGATCTCATTTTTAATAATATATTTTACATGTAAGAGTCATTGTTGAAGCATTCAACCCTCTGTTCTTAAAAGCCATGTTACAGCCTGATGATGCCAGCTGTGACCAGACAGCTTCATCCACTCCCAGCAAAATGCCTGTTTCCTCAAACCCACAGAGGTTTTTGTTAATGAAGTATTCATCACCAGATACCACCCACCAGCTCAGTCATACAAAGTTCCTAATTAGCATCACCAAAACATTCCTAACGTTCAGAATGCTTCTTGCTCTAAAGAGGATGCTAAAATGGGGCAGAGCCTAGCAAAAAATGAAGATCAAGAACTTCAGCCCACTTAAGGAGAACGGAGGTCGATCAGCTTTCTGCTTTTTCGGTAACTGCAGGAGTTTCAGGGCTGGAAAGATAACATGGCAAATTGGCTTTCTGCTCTAAAAAGTAGGAAATTGAAGAAGTCAATTACCTCAGCTCCCTTAATGTATTACCAGCCAAGGATACTGTATTTCTGCTAGGCAACTTCAAGACTCAAAGTCACTTATTTAAAGCACACACTTTTGAACTCTTCCCATTGCAACAGCCCCTATGGAATAACCCATCAGTGACTAGCGAAGCAGCTAGAAATGCATAGCCAGCAACCATTTACTGCTCCTTCTGAGGAAAATAAGAGATATAAACCAGCGGACTATTACGGCCTCTTACAAAATACATGCAAGAGATGAGACATACTGGCCCTGCAGAGCTCACCTCACCCCTCCCGCAGCAAAGAGCTCAGTCACCTGCTGTGCTGTCACAAGTGAGCAGCAGTGAAGGACAGCCCCAACCAGGCCAACGAGCCACCGAGGCAACTCCCCGCTGTGACTTGGGCTCTGAGGTGGACTCCACGCCTCCCTTAGTTGTTCTTGTACTGTGCTACTCATGTGGGGCTACCTAGAACAGCACCTCATCAGGAAAACACAGGCTGTCAGCCTTTGCAAACAGACATGACGAGGTCCTACGCTGTTCCACTCTGCGGCTGTGCTTTCAAAAGGGATTTCTGGAAGTTAAAAGGTTCCAGTCAGCGCGCTGGGAAGAGGCCGGGGCACCCACACCCGAGGCAGGGATTAGCCGGTTCCTATCACAAGCCGCTTCCTCCACCCCCCTTCCAGCTGGGGCTTCCTCCATCCCCCTTCCAGCTGGGGCAGCCTCCCCGCCCTCCCTCGGGCGGGCACCCGGGCACACTCACGCAGCTTCCACGCCGTCTTAGTGGCGACGGCCTCGGCCATGGCTCTGCTCGGCGAGGCCGGTCCGATGGGCCCTCCTCCGACCGGCGAGGGTCCCCCGCCCACCCGGGTCGCCTCTCTGCCGCCGCGTCCTACCGCGGCCGGGCCATGCGCCCGTGCTGCCCCGGCCGTCTGGAGGCCAAACAAAGGCACCGGCAGGGGTTGGGGAGGCCCCAGCGCGCTGGACCCAGCGGCGGGAAGGCCGCGCCGCGGCGGCAGAGAGGGCAGGGGCGGGGCGCGAGCCAAGGCCTCGCCGCGCCGTTGCCAAGTTTCCACACGCAGCTGTGGAAACCAATAGGAGCTGAGGAAAGGGTGATTGCTATAGCGACAGCAAAGCGGATGACCAATCGCAGCACAGTTTCTTGGCGGAGCCTTTTAAGCGCTGCCAATGAGGCAGGGCGGTGCACTGGTTCTGTAGGGCCGCCATTTTGAGGTTCCCCTAAGGGGAGCTGGGTGAGTGCTGCCGCGCCTCGGCCGTCAGGGGAGTTGCAGCGGTCCGTTAGCCCGGGGCTTCGGAAGGGGCTCCCCAGAGATCCTTCCCAGGCCCTCTACCTCAGGGGTCGCCGGTGGTTGTGCCTTATGGCTGTGGCCAGTGTGTCCCTAGGAGGCGGTTCCCCTCGCCGGATGTCACAGGCAGGGCCCTGGCGGGAGCTGAGCTCCCGAGTCTCTTTTCTCTGGGGTTGTTTGCCGGGTAATGTTGGCACCAGCTCCTCTGACTCTTGCTGCACGTCGAGTCAGGCCCACCGGAGCCTCGGGTGGGTTTTCCCCCTGAGGCAGTCGTGCTGGGTGCTTTCAGCCTGGCAGGGGTGCAGTCTTGCCACTTCCATGCTTCCCTTGTCTCCCAAGCCAGTTACTAAATAAAATTATTTTGATGTGAGTCCTTGATAGTATGCATTAACATTTTTGGCAGCAGCTATGTCTCTGGCGGCTGTAGAAGGATTCTAAATGAATTTATTCTGGTGTTAAGCTAACACTGATGAGTTCATAACCACAGGCTTGCTTGCCCCTTTTTCTTTCCATCTTCTCACCCATCCCTTTCCCTCTCCCCCCTTTCCCCCCCTTCTCTTTGCTTTCCTCCCCCCTTTTCTGCCCCCCTTTTTATCTTTCACCCCCTTCTTTTTACTCCCCCTGCCCTCCCTTTCTTCCTCCCCTTTCTCCCTTTTCTTTTTGTTTAGAGACCTTAGGGTTTCCCTTTTCCCCAGTTCTCTGGAGTCCTTCACCAGTTCACAGTTCTTCTGATTTGGACATTTTTTTGGCTTTCCTGAAATCCCTGATGATCCTTTTCTGTAGGGCATTCTTATCTGAACCCTTCTTATCTGAATACCTCTTTATCTGCAAGAGGGAACTGTTTGTGAGCAATCTCCTTCCCTGGCCTGTTTGTATCTGCTCTAGGTTGCCCTGCCAGCCAAGCACTCATGGAGGGGTGCAGAGCTGTCAGAAATGGTGGTGCTGTAAAATAGGCTGCTGCTGCTGTCAGATGGCTTGGACAACATGCTGTCATGAAACATCTCACAGCTCCAAAACTGGGAGCTGGGAGGCCTGAGCAGACCTGGCCATTTGCTGTGATGGGTGCCAAACACTGCAGCCCATTAGCTGCATAGGCATAATGAGCTGTATTGGCTTCTGGTCTTAACACTGTGTTCATCTCTTAAAAACGTAACAAACAACACAGGAGAGAAATTACTCTTGCAATAAAACAGGCAGTTGGGGTGGATGTTTCTCTGTAAAAGCTCTCTTGTATATCTATTGCATTAAAATGGACAGCTAACATAATCCAAGAAGTTCAGTCTGCTCTAGTACGTGCCTTATTTCAGGTGTGATGTCCCTTTCTCTGAGGTATAACAGCAGTGAGCTCCTGCCTTCCCCAGCTGCAATCAGTATAACCTTTACTGAAGATGACCCTTAGGGGGACTGGACCTGTAGATGGAACCCTTGTGGGTGTCTACAGTGCTCAATATACTACAGAGTACATTAGGGATTGTCTCGTACGAGGTTCAGGGACTCACATACCAACAAATGTCACACATAGTGACTTCCATTTGTAGATCTTGGGGAATTAACCAAAATACTTGATTATCTAAAACTTATTCAATTGGGAATGCTTTTGGATTTACTCGTGACTTTTTACCCTGTCTGCCAATATTTGTGAGTGGAGACATTCAAAGAGAAAAACAAAGATGTTAAAATCCAACGTTTGACCTCTCAATAAGGTCCAAGACTTGTTACATTTGTTGTGATCTTACAAGTTCAAGATCTTTGCTTGTGCTACTTACAAAACCAAATTATAAAATTAGAAATTTGCAAAAATGTTATTTTGTTGGAAAAGAATCAGTATTCCCAAATAATCCTCCTCCTGTTGTGGGCAGCTAGGTAGTAGGTTTGGAGGAGTCCTGCAATACAGCGTGCATAATTTGTAGCCGCTTCTGAAGCAGACCTTAAAGGTGAGGTCTCACTCAGATCTGGGGTCTCAACCATAATGGAATTACAGACAAACGATGCAACTGTAGATGGGCCTTAAAACAAAAGAGGGAAAATAAAAAGATAGGGGAATGCAACAAGTTTATTAAAATCTCCAACAATCTGATAATAACAAAAGATTTACTGCGACCAGGTAGGAAAACTTTTCCACACTGTTTTTCCAGGCTGGTCCTCTCAGGCTTCTGCACTGATTCCCAGTGTCTAGTGTGTGGAGGAATAAGGAAATCAGATGTAACCAAGATGCTCTGCTATGCGAGGATCCATGCACAACTTATCTTCTAGAGCAAGGTATTTCTGTGGCGCCATCTGCTTTTCCCTAGAAAAAGAAGGGGGATATCAGAGAAAAAACTGCAGCAGGACATTGAGTAGGGTATTGTTTGCCAATGATACCAAGCTGTGTGGTTCAGTTGCTACGCTGGACGGAAGGAATGCCATCCAGAGGGACCTTGACACACTTGTGAGGTGGGCTGATGCCAACCTTATGAAGTCTAACCATGACAAGTGCAAGGTCCCACACTGGGTCAGAGCAATCCCAGGCACAGCTACAGGTTGGGCAGAGAAGAGATTCAGAGCAGCCCTGTGGAGAAGGACTCGGGGGTGTTGGTCGATGAGAAACTTAACATGAGGCAGCTTCAGTGTGTGCTCGCAGCCCCGAAAGCCAACCGTATCCTGGGCTGCATCAAAAGGAGCGTGACCAGCAGGTCGAAGGAGGTGATCCTGCTCCTCTACTCTGCTCTTGAGAGACCTCACTTGGCATATTGTGTGCAGTTCTGGTGTCCTCAACATAAAAAGGACATGGAACTGCTGGAACAAGTCCAGGGGAGGGCCACAAGGATGATCAGGGGACTTGAGCATCTCTGTATGAAGACATGCTGAGAAAGTTGGGAGCTGTTCAGCCTGGAGAAGAGAAGGCTGTGTGGAGACCTCATAGCAGCTTTCCAGTATCTGAAGAGGGCCTACAAGGATGCTGGGGAGGGACTCTTCATTAGGGACTGTAGTGATAGGACAAGGGGCAACAGGTTAAAACTTAAACAGGGGAAGTTTAGATTGGATATAAGGAAGAAGTTCTTTCCTGTTAGGATGGTGAGGCACTGGAATGGGCTGCCCAGGGAAACTGTGAATGCTCCATCCCTGGTGGTGTTCAAGGCCAGGTTGGACAGAGCCTTGGGTGACATGGTTTAGTGTGAGGTGTCCTTGCTCATGGCAGGGGGTTGGAACTTGATGATCTTAAAATCCTTTCCAACGTAACTATTCTATGATTCTATGATTCTAAAATAGCCTCAGTTCCTGGGGGGCTCACTTGTAGACCTCCCCTGGGCACTACTTAGGCAGTCCAGTTACCTGTTGAGCCTCTGCTCTAGAACGTTGATATGGAACATGGATTCAGAGCAACTAGAGAGGTAGTCATCCTTCTCCTTTGTGTTGAGCTGGTTCTTGTTTTCTTGAAACCACAGGTGCCTCTTTTGCAGCTCCTCCACCGCCTGTTGGGGGAGCAAGCAACCAGGAGTCAGGGTAATGGAAAAGAGCAAGGAGCAAAGACACACAGAAGTGCAACTCAAAGTTCAGGGAGCTGAGAGGAAGGAAACCACAGACTGGAGCTGGTTTACTTTCACGGACGGCAGTAAGTTTGAGATGAGGTCTCACCGAACAAGACAATGAGAGACACAAAAACGTGGAACAGCAGGAGGCAGCAAAACCTCAATGTGTTGCCTCCCTGCAGTGAAAAAGCACTGGGCACCTAAATCAGCTCTGAGATAGGGACTTTCACCCTGGGGCTATTTTGTTCTTTGATCTCAGATGCTAACAACAGCAACACCACCAAAAAAAAAAAAAAAAGTAAAAAAAATAAAACCAGGCATGTTTATGGCTCTTTAATCAAAGGAGGTTTGTTTCTTGCCTGCTGTCACAGTCAGATCCGTGTTACCCTCCTGCCAGTGCAGAAGAGACTCCAAAAGCATGCACATCCTGCAACAAGACTGGGAATACCTTTTCAAGGCGAGCCTGGATGACGTTGATTTTGTAAGTGAGATGATGCTTAAAATCAGTCAGGCAGTCATCTCTGACACACAGGGCCTGCTTCTGGTTCAGCTTATCTCTGCAGCCATTTTGAATAAGGAAAGGTGCTAGGTAATCCAGATCCTGTTTCTTCTGTCCAAGGACCTCATCCTTCACAGTGCTCTCCTAGAGGGGAAAGGACAGAAAGAGTCATGGTCCCATTTACCTACTTCTCCAAACACTCCATGACAAAACAAAAGCAAAGGCCAAAACACCTCCCCTTTGGCCACCCCTGGAAGGAAATAATATTTCTTTTTCTTAGTTTGATCAAAATTACTGCTTTGCATTAGCTTTGCATATCAACCCTTTCCCAGTGTGGTTTTTATTCTGTAGTTTCTTTTCAATCGTTCTTTTTAACATTTCTCCTCATTTCCTTGATTTTAAAGATGTCTCTTATAAAAAATGTGTAATCCACTGAGGTGCAAGAAGGGATCTACGAAATCGCTTTGTATTAGGACAGGAAGACATTAGGACAGGGTGTTTTGAGTGACACAAGTTTATAGGCTGGTGAGTAGCTGGTTCTTGCATCTTTGCCCCTGTTTTGAGCAGAAGTTTGGCATGTAAAATTTAGCACCACCTTTTATAACCTCTCTGTTCAGTCTAAAAAACATTCACAAGAAGCATCCTGGAGATCTTGGAAAAGCTGAAAGAAATTATTATTTCTGTATTTGTCCAGAACATTTCTAAGTTCTTAATTCCTCAACAGAGATCCTGGAACAAAACTGGCTGTGTAAGTAAGAATGAAACCCAAGAAAGCAACTGATTCTTGTCACACAAAAAAGTGTGTGTTTGCCTAACAAAATGAGCCTGGCTAGAAAGATGCACCTTGGAATCCATTCTCATATTCCCCACTATAATCCCTATTCTCAGCTAATACTTGTTCATTATTTTATCAATTAAACAAAGTAAAACAACAATCTGTCTTGGTGATGCAAATTTTTGCAGAAGTTCAAAGCATGATTATGTTGTTTTAATGGGAACTCAGCTGAAGTTGTGCTAACTTGCTAGGGGATCATCCCAAGTATTTTAATGGTACTAACAGCTCCTCAGAGGCAATTCTCAGACAGAAAAAGCTTTCTCTAGATTTACTTTGTACATGTAAGAAATACTGGGATTAATGAAGGTGACCTACCATGGCTTCATGATGTCGTCTTCTCTCTTCGTTCCTGTCTCTATTATAAACTGAAACTGATAATTTAATATCGGCTTCTTCAGTCTGACGGATCTTCAGAATAGTTAACACCTTCCAAAAATCAAAGAAAGAACCTTCAGCTTTCTTACAAAACAATAGCACTTTTACATGCTTGACCTGCTAGCCAAGCAGATGCTGTGTACAAGAAATACAGTGTAGGATTAAATACAGGAGATCTATTCAAGTACCTCCATATTCTGCTCATAGGTCAAACTAATAGCGGTTTATATTTAGGTTGCTGCTTTGTATTAAATTCTTGAACACAATTATTATGTGTTAAGAAAGCTCTTCTGAAGTCATGGTCTTGCAACTACTTCTGAAATTGCACTGATAGCTTTGTCTTAGTCTTAACAGGATATGCAGCATAAGCAATATGAATATTTTGTCTATTGATACATCGAGAGAGAAATTTGGCAAGGTGTTCATGAGGTCACAGGGAACAAACTTCAAATTTCTGGAGAAAAAAAAAAAAGACTTCTGCAATCTTATTCTTAATTACTACTGGTATTCTGGGCTAATAGAATTGAGTACTTCTCCAGCTCCTTCAGGGGTTCCTCTTCCTAAGCAAAATATTTAAAAATATCCAGCAGCTTTTCCTCCATCTGCTAGAATGGTTGTATTTAGCATGAAGTACTAGAAGTACTACATGAAGTACAAGTACAAAGAACATGGCTTTGTTACAGGGTCACAGTGTGATTAGCAGTACAAGCAATGTATTTTATGAAGTATTTCCCTACAGCTGCTCTCACAAAAAGTTACTTCAGTGTTTTGATTAGAACTTCCTGGAAATGCCTAGCAACCAGATATATCATATACAATATCCTTTGGTTTTGGTCTCATTCTCAGGCAAAAGGCAGGTATGTTTCCAGGTGCCACAATTCATACACGGTCATTTGCTCCCTGAAACTGTCTTTCAGAGAATGAAGAGTAAGGGCAGGAGCTGGGAAGTGTGTGACTCTTCATAAATACATTAAAGCTACGTCTTTACTGAACAATGGCTGGACTGCAAGCTCAAGAATTCAGCATGGAGACCAGCTCTGTGGCACCAGTTTTATTTTTACCACAGCTTATGTTGAGAATACTTTGGCAACCAGTCAGCTCAAATTATTTGGATGCTGAAGAGGCACTCTTCATCAGGGACTGTAGTGATAGGACAAGGGACAGTAGGTTCAAATGTAAACATGGCAAGTTCAGGTTAGATCCAAGGAAGAAGTTCTTCCCTGTGAGGGTGGTGAGGCCCTGGCACAGGTTGCCCAGAGAAGCTGTGGCTGCTCCATCCCTGGCAGTGTTCAAGCCCAGGTTGGACAGGGCTTTGAGCAACATGGTCTAGTGGAAGGTGTCCCTGCCTGTGGCAGGGGGTTGGAACTGGATGATTTTAAGGTCCTTTCCAACCCAAACTATTCTATAATTCCCATGCCTGACCAACTCTGACCCAGTGTGGGCACCTCCCCTGTTACCTCTGCTTCAGATTGCCGGACTTGTTCTTTCACCAGCTTCTCTTTTGCTGTCAGATCCTTCAACAAGTTGTAGAGATGGAACAAACTCTTGCCTTTCTCAAAGGACCCTGCCTGGAAGCAGATGAACTAGTGAAGGCCAGTAGCACTCTCTGGGTGCATGGGACCAGATATTCTGCTATCATAAATTGGCACAACTCTGCCACAGTCAAGATAGTGACACTGACTTCCATCACTGAAATATCTAACCCATAGAAAACACTTTATTAGACTTCATTTTGATTTTGAATCCATCAGTAATGTGAGGCAGATGGCACATCTTGCACTTTTATGAAATGGTTGGAACCAGTTTTGCAGGATTAGAGATGAAAGGATGGCACTCGTGCCCTGTGTATCCTCCCCAGTGGAAAACAGAAACTTTAAGAAAACTTGCTTAACATTAAAAAATCCTGTATTTTTAATCTCTCTTTGATTTTCCTAAGTATAATTGTACAGCATCACTGCAGAATTTATGGTTACAGACTCACATCAGTAATGTCAGTGGAGTGATCCCCCCCAAATGAGAGAATTTGGCTTGATGACAGCGCTCCACTTATTTTAGAACATCTTTTATTGAAGGGTATCTATCTATCTATCTATCTATCTATCTATCTATCTATCTATCTATCTATCTATCTATCATCTATCTACATGTCTATCAGCAACACATTAAGCTTTAGCATCTTGTTCTGCATCTGCAGGGTAAACTTTGGAAGATATAAGCAACAAAATGAACCAAGAAGTCCATGGTAGAAATGGATGGGATGTCTGGGATGCCTCCCTCTGCTTCTCTGCTGTACCTCTTCTTCAAGAGAGAACAGCAGAGGAAGTTTTGACTTCTGTGCCATGAATCCACAGGACTGAGCCCAACAGCTGCCGAACCAGCACCCTGAAAGATCCGAGTGCCTGTGCTGCCTGATGACCAGATCTAGGAAGATGACCTCAGGCATGGCCGCAGCAAGCCTTTCATGCTACAGTATGTCCTACATTCTAGCAGGACAGTGCATCTCCAGGGGCATTTGTGCTGTCAGTACGGAGGCTGTCTGTGAGGGAGGTGTGCACACGGAGCAGAGGGCAGCATGGAATAAGGCATGCTTGGAGTTCTTCCACTGACATTTCACCTTCCCTTTGTGTCTTGTGCTCTAGAAAAACTTCAATATAAGTAGTTTTCCTTCATACCTGGTATGTGATGCATGTTTCTGGGGTCATGAAGACTTCATGTTCTTTACTAGCCCTCTCTGGCAGCTTGTGGAAAAGCTTCTTTGAGGCAGTAATGTATTTATCTTTGAGGTGGTATGTCAGATGGATGTCCTCCTCTGTGATCAGGAAGATACATTCTGCGACATCTTCGTCAGCAGGCTTTTCTGGGTTTCTGTGAAAACACTCCTTGATTTGCTAAAGGGCGTGAAAAAAGAGAGACAAAAGCAGATCAGACAAAAAACCTGGGAAGATTTGCAGAGTTGGGTAAAAACCCAAGGGAAAAATTGGGCTTTTCTGCCTGGATTACGATGGCATCTCTTAGCCCATAGTCCTACTGTTCTTTCCTGTGCCTGAGGAAAATAGTGCAAAGCTGCTTAACCTAAAATGTTATTAGTTTGGGGTCAGAACATGAGATCGTTTTAGTAGTTTTGAGTCCTGTGAAAATCTCATTCCAAAATCACAGTCAAGCTTTTTTTCCTTTCCTCTGACACATCTCCCAGTTTCATTCTAGCTGCTCAATGCAGTTGGTGACAACTGGTCACATTGTAGCTCTCTGTCAGGCAAACAACCATGAGACACAACAGCTGAGCAAGGCTCTATATCTCATCTGGAGCTTTGCGTTGGCTGTGGCCACTGAAAATGAACCTAGAGCCCTAGACAGTATGTTCTGAACAGTATAAATATCACTATAACAGATATTCTTCTGTTCCTGCCTTGACCGTACCCTGATAGGTTTGGAGTTCATGTCAATTCTCTGTGTTTCGTCTCCTTGTTTGCCAAAGTCAACATGCCGGAGGTAAAGAAAGTCATCCCGCCCCATGAAGTACTCTGTCATCTCACTAGCAGTTTCAACACGCTTCTGGAGGCCATCAACTCGCGCCTCATTGTAAAACTCCATTGTATGTCCAGTCTTGGGCTCCAGCAACGTATAGGTGTGAGCTGAGGATGTAAGAGACATTAGCAGCTATGATACGGTGAACATGAGTGTATCCAGAGGAAGTCTCATTTTCTTCAGCAGCCAATAAATCAAATGCACCCAAGAATGTAAGAAGGGAATGTAATCTCACTGTTGTGTACCAACATGTCATGGCCTAAGGACGGCAGGATGACTTTGCAGGGTCATTGCCTTCCTTACACAATAATGCAGCAGTGAGTGGAGCCTGGACCCTGCTTTTTCCAAATCAGGAATGGGCACAGCCTCTGGGTGAAATGCTGCTTGAGCAACAGATCTGATGCAGGATTTTCTCTCCCCCAGCTGCACAACACTGACAGACCAAAAGAGGGACTTTTTACATGGAAACTGGCTTTTGACAAGGACCTGTTAGGACAGGACAAGGGGGAACGGCTTTAATTTGGCAGAGGGGAGATTGAACCAAGGCCTTAGGCAGAATTTCTTCCCTGTGAGGTGTGCTGAGGCCCTGGCACAGGTTGCCCAGAGAAGCTGTGGCTGCCTCATCCCTGTCAGTGTTCAAGGCCAGGCTGGACGGGGCTTGGAGCAGCCTGCTCTAGTGGAAGGTGTCCATGTCCATGGAGGGGGTTGGAACTGGACAAGCTTTAAGGTCCCTTCCAACCCAAACCAGTCTGTGATTCTGTAATCCTAAGAAGAAAGTTTCTACTACTATCACCTCTACTGGTAAAAGTAAATTGGATCACCATATATATGATAGGTATGTATTTTTCTCCTGTTATGCTGGGGGGAGCACTCTCCAGCACTGTAAGCCAACAATCCAATTCTCTACTCTCTACTGGAGACCATATTATTTATCTAGGCAATTCATCCCACAAGTTTTCTGCACCCCCACTGTTGGGCTTTTGCCACTGCTGGAAGGATCCACATGGAGTCCTACCAGCTGCAGTGGCTGCCAGATAACCTGAATACCTTTAAGACAGAAGGAATGTCCTTTGCTGAAGTAGTCTGTGGTGAGCTGCGTTTGTTTATTCACTTCTCTCCTAACCAGGATGTCTTCTCGGTTTTCAAACCACTCTCTCACCTCCACTACATCAGTATCTGGCAGGAGACAAAGCATTTCAC